GCATCGCCTGGTGTGTCCGGCCCTTTAAGTAAACCACGCGTAGGATAGTATTTCTCTACGAGGATTAATTCGTCTATTATGTATTACATTTACTGGGGGTGGATGGGTGTTATTAGCCTAAGGAAGACGGTATCCCTCGTGCTCTCCACTTATGTGTAGGCTCTTCTGAGACATAGGGAGCGGATGCGTGATGTGTGGATACGGATTGAGAAATGAGAAAAAGCACGCACGCACAACACAACACAACACAACACACCCACACAAACACAACACACGTACGCACACAATCAACACACGCACGCACACGCACACACAAACACAACACACGCACGCACGCACAACACAACACACACACGCACACACACACAGCACACACAATCACAACACACGCACGCACACACAAATACAACACGCACGCATACACAAACAACACACGCGCGCAGATACACAAACACAACACACGCATGCGCACACAAACACAACACACGCACGCACACACAAACACAACACACACGCGCACATACACAAACACAACACACGCACGCACACACAAACACAACACACGCACGTGCACACAAACACAACACGCACACACAAACACAACACGCACACACAAATACAACACACACGCACACACACACAACACACGCACGCACGAACACACAAACACAACACACACGCACACACAAACACAACACACGCACGCACACACAAACACAACACACACGCGCACACACAAACAAAACGCACGCACACACAAACACAACACACGCACGCACACACAAACACAACACACACGCACGCACACACAAACACAACACAGGCACGCACACATAAACACAACACGCACGCACGCACAAACACAACACACGCACGCACACATAAACACAACACGCACGCACGCACAAACACAACACACACGCACGCACACACAAACACAACACACATGCACGCACACACAAACAACACGCACACGCGCACATGGGTTCAGATATATATGAAGGATACATGTGTTCATGGTGTTGCATGTAGCGGTGAGGCTTCATAACATCGGGCTGAATAGACTGGAACTGGCGGTTGGGATAAAAAAAAAATCATAGCAAACTACTCTCGATCATCTTTTCTCCAGTTAAAAGTATCGACAAATAATCATTCTCTTGACATACAGCGAGCATAAGGACTTACAAGTCTCTCTATAAGCTTTAGTATAGGATCAATAGGGAAAGCTTTGCGCCTAGCATTTATTAAAGTGAGTGACAAGAATAAAGATATTGCTTATTAACGTAATTGTAAGCATGGCCACAGGGTTAGAAAAGAATGGGACTCAGTCTCAATCTCCATATCAGGCCTATCTCATATCTTCTTCTATATCTATGCTCATATCAACCCTAGAACCGCTCACGTTCGTCGGAGGATAGCCATAAATTAACGCCAGATTTTGCCACTAGAGGTCGTTACGTGCCAATATTTAGCGGCGTGACCTCATTTTTCGGTCGCTACGCAGAATGCACCACGAAATAAACTTGTATAGGCCTGAATGTGATTTCTCGCCGACCTATGCCTGTCTATTGCAAGCCACCTCGGCCTCATAAGTATTATGGTGCTTAGAAATAACATTGTGGATCGCTGCCTTAAGGTTTTGGTTGTAATTAAATGAAAGCTCTTAAAACGTACACAAAATAATTGTAAATTATCCTGGAAATTAAGTTACTTAACAAATAACGCCGCAGTTTGAAGCGATTCTTCGGGGGTGCGACCAGTTGTGGTAATCGTCATAAACATCCGTGTAGCCGGTCGGTCAAAAGGCGTGGCCGCTCCCTCACCGCAACTCGCGTAGTAATACCAACGTCACAATCGAAATCTCCGCAAAATAAATAAAGCTGGCGTTATTTGTCACACAAACCGTGTGCGCCACGTTGAAGCTGGCAACATAAATCCGCGCAGTGTGAGATTTTCGCCGGTTGAATTGTAATTTGGAGCCGGTTGCGAAATCGATCAGCTGCGAGAGGGCGTATAGTAATCGCCACGTGACAGACGATTCAGCCAATGGCGTGCGGGCAGTGAGCCACGACGACCAATTCGATGACAGAACTAGAATACGTCAGCAAACGTGTACCGCTATCCCCGCCCTGCTTTGCAAAATCAAAACAAACCAGGTCACCCGAATGCCACCGGCATACGCACTACGAACCGGCGTTTGCGCTTTCACGATCGCAGTTTCTCGCAAACGAATACGAGCGAACGACAGAGTAAACCCTCCTCCCCCTTCCGCCGCATCAGGCGAGCGATTCCTTCGCAAGCGTTCCCCATGCGGAAATAGTCGGATATGTCTTCGGGAAAGAGACTAGCTAAGCGTTCGATCCTGGGCAGCAGGGTATGCGTGCAGTGTGACGACGGTCACTTCTACCCGGGAATCATACAGGCGACCAAGACGAAGGCGAGCGGAGAGGAACACTACAGCGTTCGTTTGGACAGCAGACGCACCGTGGAAGGACGTAACCGCGACATCGTCGGCGTCGGATTCCAGACGGTAACGTCCGTTCAGCTGCAGGAAGGACAGAGAGTGTTTATCACGCTCACCGGCCGGGAAGTTCCGGGTAGCGTTATCCGGCACGATGCCAACGATGAGGTCACCGTGACGACACACGGGAGCAGTAGTGACGGCGTGACTGCGCAGACGGTCGTCAGAAGAATACAGGAGGTTCGACTGCTAGAGAGCCGAAAATCGGCGCGTCTCATGGACTTGGATACGGACTACAGTTTCATGGCGGATCCAGTGCTTGCCGAGAAGAGGAGAGCTATATCGAACAACATCGACGTACCACTAAACCCAAGGTAGGCTGACTGGCCCGCTCACTCGCGCATCGATTAATTCACGGACATGTGTATGTGCGCGCAGCACAACACAATATCGAAGTGACCTTATTATGCGGTTATATTTACCAGCACGATTCGGTAGTAACTGTTGCCGGGCGCCCACCCGATCCGCCATGGCCACACGCGCACGAACGTCACTTACCTATACAGTGCTACAGCGATCGCAACTCGAACCTATGGAATTTTTTTTTGAGCGCGTGGAAAAAAATAACCTTCCCGTTGTCGGTCTCCACCGCGCGCGCCGGCCGGTTTCTCTCTACGTGTGACCCACTTTCCCTCGTGCTCTCACCTTGCGGCTGCAGCGGAGGACTGAATAGATGCGAAGAGGCGGCGCGTCCCTGACACGTTGATCCGGCGACCTCCTCGTGTCCTCCGGCTTTGTTCCTCGCGCGCCCCACCCACCCCGACGATAACGGGGTGCAGGTGTAATGATCAGCTGTTTGCGCGTGTAACCTTAGAGATGACGTGAGAGCTGCACCTTCTCTTCCACGCCACTGCCACATGCTCCCCCCCCCTCCCCGCATTTATCTTGTGCGCGTTAAAAAAAGACGGCATCTGTCGCCGTGGAGCATAATTGTTTTTAGCGTCGGTGGGCCGCTAATCGTTGGGTATGTATGCATGCACGCTATATTGAGAGAGGAAATGCCTATACCCCGCGGCAAGAGAGAGAGAGAGAGAGAGAGAGAGAGAGAGAGAGAGAGAGAGAGAGAGTTCCTCTCACCTTGAATATTGAATGAGGTGAAACAGGTATTACACAAGCTGGCCGAGCGAGAGCGCGTAGGCAGCAGCAGCAGATCGTAGCAGCAGCAGCAGCCCAGCAAGGCAGCAGCAGTAGCAGCAGCGACCTTGGGTGCGTCGCTGCGACGTTTTCGCACAACAACGCAGTCACGCAGGTCCGCCGCGTTTTTGTTCGCTCCACAGGAAGAGAGGGATCTCGAGCCATCCAGGCTGAGGACGTTGGCGAGGTGATGGACGAACGCATGGCGGCGATGGTGCTCACCAGTCTCTCATGCAGCCCCATCTCACCGCCATTCACGTCCAGACTCTCAGGTAAACAAACGCAAACATTCTAACATTCTCCATGACGAGTGGCATGCGAGGCCGATGCCACGCGATCAGGGAGTATCATGACGTCAAGGTTAATAATGACAATTGTTCGTCATTATTTTGTCATTGGACAATTATTTGTCATTATTCACACCTGATAGCAGATGTATATATATATATATATATATAAATAATATGACCTATATATTATGATATATATAATATATATATATATGTATGTCTATCTAGTGCTATAATATAGATATATCTATATTATGACACTCCTAACGCGATAACCACCATTACACCCAGCACCACCAATGTACACATGTTACACCAGTAGTATAGTAGTAGCGGGTTCGTTTACCCCGCGGGCAGAAATCTGTTCACCTTCCAGGACACGACGTGTCCTGTGACGTCAGCAGGACGCGTGTATTCTAGGACGTGATCAGGACCCGGGGGGGAGGGGGCGTACGACCGGTGTCTGGCGCTGTGGCTCGCGAGAGAACGGGAATTTACTGGAATCGACATTTCCAGCTATCATTGATCCGCTATACATGAGAACGACGTGATCGCCATGCACGATACTTACAACAACCTCGCGACAACGTCACGGCGTTTCCCTGAACCGCGGATCCGACGTCATATATCCTATCAGGAGTCTATCAATATTGATAGACTCTTGATCCTATTACTTGGAAACCACCGGGAGAGCGCATGCGCGCGTCGGTCTCTTTAAATTCGTTGTTTACCGCCCGCGGGTGAACGCACGCTCGAATGACCACTGAGATCTAGATAACTGTGAACTCTGTGTATGCGAGCGAGATGATAATAATCTATGCAGATGGGAACGGCTAGGGGTGGCCTTGGCGTTTTCCTTTCTGTTGGGTTGTTTCTAGTCGCTAAAAGCATTTGCTGGTTTTCACCCAGATACAATTTTGTAGCCCGAAAGACTCTGCTCTGTTGGGTTACGTTATTGTATCTAGCTTTCTCCCTCTGTCGCCCACCCTCTCCCGGTGTGTGTGCTTGTGTGTGATGGTTAGTGCATCACGCCGGGTGTGAGTGTGCGCACGTGAGTTGTGCCATGGACATTCTAAATGTAGCACGAGACCATTACGCGTGCCGGCTGTATAAAATCAGGTTGCGGCCTTCTATGCGAGTGTTGTGATCGGTATATGTGGGTCACACGATGTCCCTATTTCGCTTCTTTCTACAGCCGCAAACGCAGTTTTTAATTACTGGATTAGTTATAGCTGCTTCTGGTGCATGTGTGCAGTTTATACAGGAGTTGGCGAGAAGGAATTTGGATGAGGAATTTAGAATGGGTTATACGAGGGTTGTGGGGAATCTTTGCCTAGAACTTGGAAAGACGTCGCCAGTGAAGCCAACTGCGAGTAGTCACAACAGTGTTATTTATATATATATATATATATATATATATATATTAATGCGCCCAACAAAGAGAAAGGAGAGCCGTCGTAAACACGCCCACGTTATTTCGACCGGCAACACTGCCTCCCCCTTCCTCCTGCTTCCTCCTTGTTCTCCTCCCCTTCTCCTCCCCTTCTCATCGCCCTCTCCTAATATAATTCCCTCATCAGCAGGATTAGTATGGATTTGGTGTCGCGTGAATGGCATATAGGGTGTATGTATGCGTGGATACGTACGCTAGGAGGCGGCGGGGGGGGGGACAGGGACGGTGCTGTCCTTATATTCTGCTCAGTAATATCATAGCCCTCATTCGTAACCTCTCGACGCCCTCATTGTGTAACCCGCCGTATTAGTAAGTTCATCTTTAAAAATGCTCGCTCCTGCTGCTGCTGCTGCTGTGGGCGTGTAGAGGTGGTGTTGGTAGACAGTTGCTGCTACAGCAGAACCGCGGTTAGATGATGCTAACCCACATCGTGTTGCGTCATCGTGTAACGTTCATATGTCATGTGAGCGGTGCATGCATGTGGGTAAGAAGCGACGTACCCATTACGATCCACAACTATGCGTGCCGCACGCGCCGCATAGCTGATATCCTGTGCGTCGGCAGCGCTCGCCTATCGTGTGTGTGTGTGCGAGCGGTGAGTAGGGGTGACCTAGGGTTAGGGTTTCCGCAGACAGCTGTGTGACAAAATGGTGCGGTATCGTCATATCGTCATTGTAGTGATTTACGCGAAGTGGCGAAGTATATGTTTCACGCGGACCCTGTACGTGTGTACTCCTACAGTCATTCGCGACTACACCTATACCACCAATAAAATACGGGCACTTTGTATGCAGATGCCTATAATATATTGCTGCCCCCTAATATCGGTCGTTATGTTCACCCTCGTGCTAAATTACACGCCGCGAAGGCCCCATAAACTGCAACAAGGCTTATCGTGTTATCTTGCGTTGCCGCTTACGTTACAGCAGAAGTAGATAATAGGGAATCTACTTCTGCCTTCTGCTTACAGTATAGTCATTATTTATAGTAGGGAGACTAGCGTAGCGTGAAAGAATCTAAACGCGTGCGCGTGCGTGCGAAACGTTTGCCACTGGGGCGCGCGTGACACTTTCCCCGGTAGCGTTATAGCTAGTCACACTTCATTGCGATAATCTACTACTTATAAATACGCTCGCGCGCGCGTTTTACCATTAAATGTTCGTCCGTGGCGATGACTCGCTCCTTGATTAAATTGACTACGTCACGAATTTGTTATGGTAATATTTGCAAAATTTTTGTTGCCATTTTTTTACATTAAAAGTAAGAACTAACGAGACTAAACGCATCGTCAAATTCTTACATGATAAGATTGTTTCTCAACTAGTTAAAAATCAAAAAACCCTGGACGATTTGATATTATGTTCCTGACATTAATTGCTTGCTATGGGCTATGTATGAGTCACGAGTGTATGTTTACATCGAGCAATATAGTATAATAAGAAGTATAATGCAGCAATTTAACCATAAAAAGTGAACAGAATTACTTATATTTTGTGAAAAAGTGGAAATATTTTTTTCATTTTTACTATTTACGGTGACGTAATCACTTTAAAGGGCTTCTTCGTCTTGATTTCTTAATTACATAATGTAATCAAAATCAATTCATTAAAGCCGCCGCCACTATCCCAACACACGATAACAACGTTTTCCATGAGCCGGAGGTTACCGGCGAAACCGTATCGAAAGCGACCGCCAACAACACGCAAACAAACAACTCCTATATATTATATTTGGTTGATTTCGTACGAGGTCAGTCGTTGTTGCTCGTCGCGTTCGAAATAGGTGTTGGCACGGTTCCAGGTCGCAAGGCGCCTACGCTGGCGATCGATAGAGCACGCGCGTGTTCTGCGCGGCCGCAAGGAACTGCAATGCAGCATTACTGCATGCGTGGCACACATAACTAGAGGTCGCTGGAAACCGACGAAGCTAGCATCTGCAGCTAAAAGAGGGCGGGAACCCTAGCGGGCTAGCAGGCAGGCTGCATCTATATAGCGTCCTAGCATGAAGGAGTCGAAGTTGCGACTTTCGCATCCTAGCCGGCAGGACTAGAACCTATGGCTTAATTTACGCATCCTAGCCGGCAGGACTCGAACCTTTGTTTCGTGCATCCTAGCCGGCAGGACTCGAACCTTAGAAAATTTCTTAAAAGAAAAAAAAGTGAAATGCATTGGCAATTGCATTTCAGCAGGTGCTAAAGTCTATATTATCAAACGAATGCGAGAGCGAGAGTGCTTCTCCCGGGCTAAACTCCCGCTAGCCCCGGCCGCATCCGTGCGGTTCTAATAATAGATTAAAACACATTATCGCCGTAGATCTATCTACGCTCTACGGTTTTTACCTCTCTGTGCATCACGTGCGCGCGCGCCTGCTTCTGTTTACATCCATCCTACAACCGCAGCTGCAGCAGCACAGCACGAATATTGACCACGGACATGAGTGAACTCTCGGCAACCTCCTCCCCTCCTCCGCCTCCTCCTCCCCCTCCCCCTCCTCCCTCTCCCCCGTTACTCGTGTGCAGCGCTGCTGCGTGTGCGTGTGTACGGGGACTACTAATATGACTGGCATGCAGCCAGATTCGTCACGAGTTTGGATCGCGACGTGCTACCGTGCTACGTGCTGCGAGGATTTCCTAGGGCAGTGTATATTCTCTGTCGGGGTGAGCGTGGGGTGGGCGGGCACACACTATAGTGCGTGGTTTTACACGCGGATAATATATACGCAGGTTGTGTGTGTGTGAAGCGGTGCAGTTATATAGGGCCTACGCTGCACCCGGCGGTGCGTCCTAATTAATAACGGTCGTCAGTCGAGCATTGCTAGATAGTAGCCGTGGAATAGCCCTATAGAAGCGGTTCCCACACACGCACACCCATACACACACGCACGCACGCACACACACACACACACACA